CAACCAATGCCTTACTCCAGAGTGGACCCAAAACGCGATTCCTTCTGCTAATGTCCAGGAATGACCAGTTTTGCCAATCAATATGCCTGTCCTCCGGCTTGATCTTGGCCGCATGGACCAATGGGCCGTCTCCTTCAGAGGCTCGCCAGCCCGCATCTTCCACCGGGGGAACAAAGAGACCTTCCCGTATACCCTTAACGAGAATATCCGCGCCCTTCGGACAGACTAGATTCAATAAATCGGGTACTGTGCATGCATCGGGATTGGGAATGTCGAAGCCAGGGGCTGGAGTCTGCGCCAGGATAGTGCCATGATCGAAGTGCTTGAGATCAAGCGTCTGAAGGGTGACACCGGTCTTAGTTTTACCGGCTAACAAGGTATGATGTAGTGGTGCAGGGCCCCGGAAGCTTCAAGTATTGTGTTAGCGGGGTCCGTTCGTGGGTAATCTGCGACTGCATACTCGGGAAGCAACGATGGATGGACATTTAGACCTCCATACTTCGCGCCGTTGAGAAGCCGCGGAGGTACGAACAGCCCAAATGAGACGGCAATGATCAGGTTTATAGGGCCACCGGGTAGCGTAGGCGGCTAACAGTGTCAGCACGTAGCCATAGCAGGTATCAACAGCTGCGAGTTACCGTCCAGCCTCGAAAAGTATCTATCTCGTGGATCGGAAGCGACAACTCCTTTGCGGCCGCTTTGATGGGAACTGCAACATAAAAACAATTAGCTGCGCGAACAACTTGTCAAGCTTGCCTAGATAAGTACCCTCGCGGATCTGCTTCAACCCTCTTCCAACCTTCTTCCCTGGTCTGCAAACGACATCAATTGAGGCAATCCGATCCGGTCGCTTGACATGTTCTTCATGGAGAGCTTTCAACGAAGCTATGCTGAAATCGTCAGATCCGCAAAAGAGAATCCGGAGTGGGTCGTAGGCCTTCGTCGCGAGGCATCTATGTGACAAGGATGGGAAAAGACCGGCTCGTCTGTAGGCACAGAGAGCTCCAGGTCCCCGCAAGAGAAACATGGCCAGCAATTGACGGCGGCGATTTGCGGGTGACGGAACAATCAAACAGTCGCATCCGCAGCAGCTCCGGCAAGTTCGCCGACCTCCCATCTCCACCACGTGATGTCACCGCCGCCCACTACTCCAGTCCGTCTGGTGACGATGAGTGTTTCTCACCCAACTGCACTGCTTCACTGTGAGCTGGAGCTCACGGTTAGATGGTGCAATGCCGGAGAGTGATTTAGCGTCAGTGATTCCTGCGCAACTGTCGTTCCTCGCTATATACAACCCCCGCCTCGGTCCGACCGACGAGACAATCCGCGACCAAGTCGTCTTCTATACATCTCGATCGGGTCGATCGCGCCGACGTGAAGGCTCCGCGGCTGACGATGGCGACCAATACTCCAACGATTACTGGAATGAGATCTTGCGACAGATAGGACTGGCTCAGGGCATGGTAGGCTTTGCCAGGTGGGATTCGCTCTACATCGTTCTACCACAACTGGCGCTGTACTAATGATCCTAGGGACTTTTCGCAAGGGAAAGCAGTCGATTACGTCGAAACCGAAAAGTCGCAGATTATTCTACATGAACTTGAGAAGGACTGGTGGATTCTAGCTGTAGGTAGACTTGCGCCGGAGCATCACATCAATAGCTGCTGAGCTTGTTACAGTCTGTCGACCTAACTCGCCTCCCACTTGATCAACCTAGCACAACTTCCTCTCAGCGCGATGCCTCGTCTTCTTCATTCAGCTATTCCTCAAGGGAGATGTCTCCTCCTGCTTTGCTAATACAACAATTGCGTCGAGCCCACTCCATCTTTCTTCTCCACCACGATTCGACACTTGACGCCTTATACAGCCGTGTTGGCAGACCCACATTCTGTGCTCTTGTTGATAATTTCTGGTGGAGGTTCGCATGGACCTGGGAGGTTCTTCTAAGCGGAAACCCCGCTGTTGACATATACAATGGCGTCAAGCTCTCCGCTGGGGGTGAACTCGGAATCGGCGTTGGCGAAGAAGAGTGGGGAAGCGGGGAGAGGGAGGTTTTAGAGGACTTTGTCGCCCGCACAGATGGCCTCCTGGACCTGGTCGTCTCACGATTTGGTGATCCTGGCTCCTCTGACAAGGAACCGGCAGCAAACAACAGACCGGGAGATTCGCTGAACATAGGTGACGGCGAGGATCGATGGCTTGGCTCGGGAGCCTGCCCTAGGCCGGCAGATGGCGTTATATTTTCAGGAGTCGGAGCAGTCTCTAGACCATCCCTCTTGCGAATCTCACAATGGATGGAATCAATCTATAGATACGGCGCCGACGCATACGGTGTAGGCGAAGACCCAAGCTCACCACGTCGTCGAAAGCGGCGAAGAAAGCACCGCAGCAAACTAGCTGGAAGCGATCCCACCAAGCAAATGATGGCGGAACCTCAAGCTGCAACACCCGATCGCCCTTTCTCTCCAGGTATACCACCTCCACTCGTGGTAGGAACAGCGGAGTCTCCGCAGGCTCCACAGAAGTCGAGCTCACATACCAGTGGCGAGAGTTCACCAGTAGGAAGCGATCGAGGAAACGATTGGATAGGCTTCAGGACAGAGACATTTGTGAAATATCTCACTCTTGGCTATGGCTCGTCTTGGGGAGTATCGTCGGGAACAGCCAGTCCACACCCGCGAGTCGAGGCTATAAAGCGAGAAGACAGGCCGATGAGTCCAGACAAACAGACGGATTTGTCTACTGATGCCCCGGGAGCCATTAATGGGGAGGATCCTCAGCCCAGTGAGGGCAAAAAGATTCAGAGCTGTGGGAAATTTCTCGTTGGCCTGCTTTCTAATACTGACAATCAGAGTGCACCTATGCAAGAGGGCTCTGACCCAACGGAAAGTCAGACAGGGCCATCGCAGAATAATATAAACTACAGACGCTTGCACATTCAATTGTCAGAGTCTACGGAGCCGGCTCTAACAGGTAAGGAATTCAACGTGTGATTAGACCGTCCACAGCTAACCAGCTTCGCCTAAGGCTTGACAGAACTGCAAGCAGTAGTCTACATTGTATGTCTTCCCTACACCACACAGCCTTACTACCTGAACTAACAGACTTACAGCATCAACCATTCATATATACATTTCTATTTGATCCCGCAACCTCGACTCTATCCGACCCGACGCTATATCAAACCATCAGCCACCAACTCAGCCCGCTCCACAAGTCTCTCAGCAATTCCACATCACCTGCCACCGCAGAACTTCGCATTTCCATGTCCGATAACGCCCTCGACATCAACAAGCGATTTACCGGCAAAAGCCAGCCCGTCTACAATCTAGTCTACGATCAGACAAACTTAACAATCCGCTCTTCAATCCCGAACATACCAGACCTTGGGTCCACCGTCAGCGAACCCCGGGATCCAGCCACACACCCATGGTCGCGCGTCGAGAGCCTCAATATCCACCACCGACTCTTAAGCACCCACCTTGAAACCCGCTCGCGACCTCTCGAGGTCGAAAGAACCTGCAAGACCAGCCGCGGCTGGTGGATCGTCTGGATTCGGATGTCCGAACCCCCCAGGCAAGAACAAGGGAGCACAGCCTCCAACGCCAGCGTCCAGACCAACACGGAACCGGACAGCAATAATGCCCCCCTTCAGGAAGCATTCATCGTCCGCAGATCCAGTGACTCCGTCTCTCCGTCCGGACATGCACGCAACAGTAGCAGCACTCGGTTCTTCCGCGATCTGGGCGGGGCGTCGTCGCCGGGATTGCAAGCATCGCGGACCGATACAGGACCGGGGAAACTTGTCGAAGGGCTGGGCCTGGACGCAAGACGATATATTGAGAATCTACTCAGCTTGAATAGATAAGACACGACATGATATATATACATTTACCAACCAATAAAGAGACTCGATTGGTATTCTTTGACAGTCACTATTTTCAATGAATATGGTAGATCATTCACCCTGCCAGTACTACCACTTTTAATACATTGAATCCTGAACCAATCAGACAAAGGAGAATAGCAACTGTAAGTACTACTGTAGCCGAAGGTAAATAATTCACTATCCACTCAAAACGAAGATCATACCCACAGATAAAACCCACCTACAAGCGAGGCAGAAAATAGATGCTTCACACGATACATGACTCGGAGTAAAAAGAAGCATGAGATACAGTGAAGTGGATATGCAAGATATGACAGGCAATGAAACTGAGTAGTTAATCGTGCCTTGATTCAATAATCCACCTTGAATTTGTTATGCTAAACTCATGATGTATATATTTCAGTCCTCAAGTACCTATAGCAGAACACCCAGTGACTAGATCATCTATCAGCATGCATATAACAAAACTATACAAATCAAATATAAACTACACCCACTTCTTCCTATGAAAAAAAGTACATAGTCATGTAGGGAAGAAAACCCAGGTACACAATTGTGTACGTAGTTAGGATAGTTCATTACCCCTGAAAACGATTAGTCCCGTCCGTAAGTCACATACAGAACCGCCGGTACGAACGTATGTATGAAAACAATTGAAATTGAACGGGTTCATTACATACCGCATAACAACTTAATTCCTATTTCTATCATATACTATAAATGACTACATTATATCTTCTGCTTTATAAATTTATCTACTACGAATCTAACTATTTGTTCCTTGTTTTCCTCACTACTATCGAGTTTCCATATATAGATGGGAAAACCAGGATGAGTGGTCGTGGTTGAACTTACGTCTTGACTTCTATCTAGTTCGGCTAGTTGTTACTATCATTAGACGCTAGCTATCAGTGGATTGGCAAATCCCCCCTTGGCTTGCTGTCTACTATCCACACCCCCCTTCCCTGTCTGTAGGCTGCCGAATATCGCCATGTTAGGCTATGGAGTGTTGCTATTTGAGGTAGGTCAGAAAGTACGGATGCTAAAATAGATGGTTGTACTAGGAGAATACGCAGTGCATACGCAATAGGATCATCACAGTACGAGAAAAGAGTGGGAGAAAATGGTGGATTAGTAAATAGTAACTTAATAGGCGTGCTAGATATTCCTCATGTCTGCTCGGAGACCATGACGATAGAACATGATGCAGTGCAGTTTCGACTGGATAGGCTGCAGGACATGTAGGAGAAACCAAGCCAACGACAAATTCCATGCATTCTCTTTAACCGAAACAGGGGAAAAAACAACAGAAGTGGGGGATAAGACTGCGCTGAGGGGAATCCGTACAAAGTGAGAATCGGGATTCCGATTCTCGACTTCTTTTTCTTTCCTTGGACCGGATACATTCGAGAGATTTGACTGATGGGAGAGACGTGAGACGAACGCATTCCCCAGTTGCTCAATTCCGATCTGCAGTACTCGGGGGTAGCGAGGACGTTTGCTTTGAAGGCAACCTGGCGCCCTTCTTGCCATAGTGACCGAGAACCATCCCGTTAGGCGCCTATGGAGCTGGAAACCGATAGGAAAGAAAAAAAGAAAAAACCCACGAGGTTATGAAGACAACGCCTCCCTAGAAAATCAAATCAAGTCTGCAAAATAGAAAGTCGACCAAGTGCATAGCCAGATATCCCATGAAGCTCATGTGCCCGTGATTGAACATTATCCACACTCGCATCCGGGCACACATAGTGGAACACGCCAACGGAATGACCCCCTCTTAATAAATAGTAGAAAACCAAAGGATCAGACGCTTATCCGTTCATATAATCTCCGCATGAAACAGACCTTTTGCGAAGGAGAGAAAACTAGTTTACAGGATAGTGCACTTCTTCTTACTCTTGTGGGTCTTCGTAAGAAGGGCAGCCCGGGTGGCAGCCTCGAAGACCTCGCGGACACCCTCGTTGGTGCGCGCAGAGCACTCAAGGTACTTGTAAGCACCGATCTTCTTGCGAACCTCCTCACCCTAATCGCATATTAGCCTCTATATCGGGGGATGATGCATCCTTTTGGTCGTGTGCCACATACCTGCTCAGGGGTAACCGGCTTTTGGGAGGTCTTGTGAAGCTCCTCGATGGTCTTGGGGTCGTGGCGCAGATCCATCTTGCAGCCAACAAGGATGATGGGGAGTCCCTGACAGAAGTGGAGGACCTCAGAGATCCACTATAATGGTATTAGTTATCTGGAAAGTAGGTCCTTTGCCCATCTGCCCGCTAAGGAGACCAGGCATGTCGCGGAGAACTAACCTTCTCCTGGACGTTGTCGAGAGAATCGGGAGAGTCAACCGCGAAACAGATCAGGATGACATGGGAGTCAGGGTATGAAAGAGGACGAAGACGGTCATAATCTTCCTGACCAGCCGTATCCCAAAGGGCAAGCTCGACGTGCTTGCCATCGACCTCTACGTCGGCGACGTAGTTCTCGAAGACGGTAGGGACGTACACCTAAAGCGTGATAGGGTCAGCTTAACAGAAGCGGAGTGCTTGTTGACTGGAAGGCTAGCCAGATATCTCGGGATGGCCATGGGGGGGTGAAAGACGGCAATAAGGATCAGGTCAGGAGGGTCGGTGGAAGCTAACCTCAGGGAAGGTACCCTTGGAGAAGACGCTGGTGAAAAACAAGAAGCCAGAGTTAGTTCACTGCTTGATCCCTATGTAGCGAAATTAGAAGAAGGGAGGATACTCACATCAAAAGACAAGTCTTACCGCAGGCACCATCGCCCACGATGACGAGCTTGCGGCGGATTTCAGCCATCTTTCGAAGCGTGGAGGATTAGCAAAGGACGAGGAGGAAGAGAAGTTGAATAGAAATGAAGGGGATGATGTGGTGAAAGAGTGGCCAACGACAACGAGCGAGGTGGGAAGCTGTTGTTGCAGGAGTGGATGGATGGGGGTGTTGGATGGGGGAGGTTGAGAGTAGAGAAAGGGACAAGTCAGGCGCCCGAGGAAAAGGGTTATCACGTACGGTGCAGGGGAGTCGTAGGCGCAACGGGCGCGGACTAAAATATTCAGGGAGGGAAAGGCAGGGTGAATGGCCGAGCCAAGAGTTTCCAGTAATAAACCCAACAAACGAGTTTACGAGGAAAGAATGGCACGAAAGGTAGAAAAAAAAAAGTTCCCAAAGGAACAATGATGAGGAAGGGAGGAGAAGGTTGTTGATAGAAGGATGGAAGAGAAGAGAGGGAGAGGGAGAGAGAGAGAGAAAGAGAGGAGAGGGAGAGAGACAATGCTTGGTGCAGCTGGATTGGTACTGCTGCTGCTGCTTTGCTGCTGGCGTGTGTATGGGTCAGTTATCGGCGGTTGGCCCCAGGGCTGGCTTTTGGCTCCTCCTTCGTTTGGGCGACGTTCTGTTCTTTCGTAACTTCGTTTCCCCCCCCCCCCCCCCCCCGTCCTTTCAGGTGAGGCTCCCTGTTCCCGAAAAGTAGGGTGACTAAGGAAAGGAACCTGACCAAACCCAGACTAGAAGGGCCTGAAACGGTTGGCAAGCGACATTTGGCCCAGCCCCATCCACCTTTCCTGGTGAAAATGCTATGTGGCTGTGAAAGCCAGTTAGTTCTTTTATTATTTTTATTTTATTTTGATTTGATTTGATTCAGATTATGACGATTCTATTTTCCACCCACTCTCTCTCCCCTTTCACTCCAATTTCCCCATTCATGTGATTCGATTAATTTATTCTCTTTCCTCCCATCTTGGACACACTTTTATTACTGTATGTAGATGACTACGGAACAAAAGGCAAAAAGAAAGAAAAAAAAAAGTATCATACTTGGGAATGACGTGATATGCTTTCCCAGTCTCCTCAGTAGGACACAGTACAGTTTGATGGCTTGTATCGCATTGGAATTTAATAAAATGGTTTATGGGCCAACCAGATGAGAGATGTCGGATAATCGTTCCACGCCCTTTCTTTCTCTTTCTTTTCTTTCTTTCTTCTCCATCTCTACAATTGCCATCACTCCTTTTCTTCCATCAACTTAGTACCTCCTTTTAACAGGCACCGAATTTGTTTCGCTCGTGACCCAGTTTGTCTCCTTCGACAATCCTGCTTACTTAGCTGCCTAGTTTGGTCTGCCTTCATTCTCCGTCGAAGCCACCGTGGCTGAAGACTAATGACAGGGTGAACGCAGTAATAATCGACATTACCTACGAGTATCAGTGGCACTTACGTATTGTCGTGGCCCGTGTTTATGACTATGTATTCATTCCCAGGCATTCAGCCCAGTCAACCTTCCATCCAATCTCTTCCCCTGTAATAGTTGAGCTCCTTTTTTGCTGCTATTAAGCTCCAACCTAACTAGTTCTTCGGTCCATCTCGGCTGCGTAGTGGTAAGTTAGTTAGACTAAGCACTGAATAGTTGTCAGTCGTCAGACTGCATTGCCTTAGCCTTCTTCTATATTCCGCGGGCTTATCTTCCGAACAATTTCGAAGGAGGAGGGGGGGGGCTGCAAAAGTAAAAAGGTAAACAAAAATTGCCTCCTACAATTGAGGCCATGTCATCGTCAATATAATTCGTGATAGTACTACCAGTAACATGGTCCATTCTACATCCGCAATAAAAGAACTTCCGTCGACACCATAGTTACCGTCACCATAGTCGGAGAGAGCCTAGAAGCCTGTGGGCGCCCCAGGGAGTCGGAGCTGTCGGCTGTGGCTCCATACTTCTCCTAATCGGCGGTGTCGCGTCCCTCCGGTTGTCTGGGTAAGCTGCCACAGTATTTTGTAACTTATGTGTTCCTCTCACTTCCATGCTTCAGCAATTAAAGATAGCGATAATCAAGCCAGCGACCTCCAAGTTTAATACATTTTTCGGGAGGTCAAGCAATTCCTCGATTCGCTTTACTTTACTCATTCGGGGTTTCCCTGCATGCTACCCCAGCTTTCTTCCTTGGACAGACATACCGGCTGGATTTCACTTATGCATCTTGGATCACTCATTACATCGTGCTACACCACACACAGAGTACTCCGGCCCAAGAAATAACATCATAGTCTGCAGCTTGCAATGATGTAGACGGCTGGTGGTGGAAGGGATAACCCAAAGACGATAACCCTGCAGGCGCCCTATCTTTACGCTGATTCGTTCCATAGTGGATGTCCCGATAATCCAAGACTGAGTGTGTAGATACCTGCTGTACGGTCTGCATTGGCGATCCGAGTATAGCCAGGCAGCGGTCAGATTGCTTTTTCAGCGAACAACTCATCACCAAGCCATCCTTTATGTGGGAATTATGGAGTAAATATGATGATATTTCCTGCAAAGTGCCTTCAATTTCCAGAAGAATGACAGACCATCGGCACTCAAGATAACCATCGGACCTTCCGAGGGGATTAGGCTTAGCCTGGAAGGAGTAACCAAAGGTACGTACTTCTGGTGCGGTATGACGGTAACCTTCCAGACCCGCTAGGGGGGAGATGCTTCCTTCAATTACCGACAGCAAAGAGACGTGGCGGTGCAATTGATCGCCATGCTCTTTACCAAACATGGTCGGTACGTATATTCCTCCAGTGCAAACGTCATCTTTGACTGGAAGCAGGCAACTCCTTTATCTCTTTCCTATTATGAATATCAGAACAGATCCAGGATCGAAAGACGCAGAGGATCACGGAGTATATAATCACCAACCCAAATAGCTGGTTGTCAAGTGGGGTGGTTGTGACCGCACTTGAGACTCAGCAAATGGCCTGCCTGACGTTTCGTATGCGGAATGCGGAAGTGCAGGAAAGATGCTGCAAGTCCGCGGCCGAGACGCTTTACTTCCACTACGGAGTCGATTTTCCGTACTCTCCGAGTTCCTTCGTGCGGAGAAAGCAACCATAGATAATCTGCCACGGTCTTCTGGGTCTAGTTGCTGTACGAGAGCAGGTCCTGTGCACCTATAGAGTACATGATCTTCTCTGTTCTGAGTCAGTCTCTCAGACAGCAAACGCTATCGAAATGCTGCTAGCTCAGTCTTGTGCCTGGCTGACTTGGCAGGCTGTTGTTGTGTCTGACCGAACCTGCTTATTGCCTACTGATCGTGTCAGATGCTGTGCCGAATCCATTTGGGGACCCGTAACTCTCAGCAGTGGTAAGACATGATCGGTGACACCGTCCCAAAGATCCGCTACATTGGCATTTGTCCTACAGGAGGCCTCTTGCAGTAAGGATGGCAGTCACCGATGGATTACGAATCTACACAATTGTCTGCCAACCCACTTCACAGTGTCGATAGATTTGGACGTTGGATTAGGTAGCTCATGAGCGTGTGTACCTTCCCGGAGGATCTACTCAGTACCTCGCACATCATTGAACAAGTCATCGCGCGAGAGGTCCCTGCGTTAGCTCGCCGGTGATCTCACAGAGCAGAGTACACTGAAGGACGCTGGGCATGTACCGGAAACACTATGTTGTTGCCTGCTATGGATACCTGTCGCCAATGATGGCATACCCCTTGTGCCTTCGGGGTTGACGAGGATGGCGGCTGTGCCATGAAGACCACAGCTGATATGAATTCAACAAGAATTCAGAAGATTGAGATATCCTATTATAGTATCAGTTCCTGCAGCGGGAATATTTGGCGTTACTCTTTGGGAGACTATGAGGACAGGGCCAACCTTGTGGGTTTTAATGGACCTTAGAGGTAGCATGAATTATTTGCAAC